GCGGTGGTAGGGGGAAGGTGGGGGAGTGTTTTGACGTGACGCGGCGAGACGCACTGAATCCCCCTTCCCCCTAGGGGGCGATCCCTCACTTCATGTCCACGTCGAAGTCCAGCACCAGCAGCTTGGTCTCCTCGGTGCCGTTGCGGCTGCCCACGGCGCACACCAGCTTGGTGTTGGAGGCGCGGATACGCCACACCACGCCGCCGCTGCCCCCGCTCTCCAGGGTCACCAGGTTGCGGATGAACTCGCCCGTCTTCAGGTCCCACAGCTTGACGGTGCCGTCGTCCGAGCTGGTGATCACAAAGTTCTTGTTGAACTGCAGGCAGGTCACGGCGCTCTGGTGCTTGTGGGGACCTGGAGGGGAGATGTGACAGCTGTGACCTCTGACCTTTGCTGCGAGCAATGTGCTTGAAACATGAAGTGCTTAGTTGATGCAGGGTCCTGTGTGAGAGCATTATGGGACCAGAACTACAGAATCAACATTTTAATTCAAAATGTCTACAGTGGAAACCACCAAATTAGAACAAGAAAACAGTTAAAAGACTAAATTTCAGCCAAGGCAGACAGGAAACAAGGTCTCAGTCTGCTGTAGGTAACGATGGTAGGGTGAATGTGCTTGGGACAAAAGGGTGCAAGACTATCGCTGCACCCTGGAATTAAGTACTTAACTAGCCTGCTTTGCTTGGGTTAATATCCCACATTATATAATGCACCAAATATGTTTACTGTGGGATATGAAAGTTTCTCCAAATATAATCTGCTTGGCAATTTAAATGAGCTTAACCGCTATAGCTGTGCTTCCAGGAGATTCCAGCACTGACTGCAGTGTGTTCTGGCCGTGCAGTGGGCGGGTGAATCGGTGTTGCAGTGGACAGATTAAAATATAAAAATCGGTTCACACTGAGTTTGGACAGGCTCTGAGGGAATGCGATATTCAGCGGGATCAACGCTGGCGTGGCTCATGCCACATGGCTACGCCTCATGGAAACTCCAGCTATGGCCGCGATACTTATGAGGAAGCCACTTCTCATTATTTCAGTTTTTCCACATTAATTTCAAGGGAACCTTGGACCGTTCACTGAGAAGGACCACAATACGCTAAAAGCAGTTGTAAAGTGTTCATTCAGTCAGGCAGCAGCCATCAGCTGAAATTTTCCCTGAGTTGCTTTCCTCAATGCTACTGTCCTTTCACTTCTCACACACACACACACACACACACACACACACACACACAACCTTTTTGTGAACACGGTAAAGTCTATGTGTTGATCACTGTCAGAGATCTCTAACATGCACAAGAGTGTCAGTTCACTCAGCAGCAGTGGCAACAGCTCACTTAAGGAAGAATGAAATAAAATGCCTCCATGGATACTCCATTAAAATGTGTCCTTGCAAAGATGGAACAAAAAGCCCCGGCTACTCAATGTTCATAAACCAGAGGAACTTTCTGGGGATGTTTCAGTGAAAGCCTTTTTCCCTTCAATAAATACTCTGTTTAAAAATGTGCCGGACCCGCTAAGTCTACCTTCAGGGCCGTTCATTGTACATAACAAATCAAGAGCGCTGAGGCCGCCCAAACGCACAACATTATTCTGCCTAATGAACACAAAGAAAGGAACAGATTTTTAAACCCATTTCTGAAATTCAGTGTGCCTGCAAAGTCCCTTTTTAAGGTATAATTAAGTCCTCTACATGACATTACACTTGCAAATGAATAACCTTTTAAACAGGTTGAGCCGTGTTCCCCAGCGTGAAATCACAGCCATTACCACCCGAGTGACATACGGGTTATCTCTGCTATTCACAAGGTCTGCCCAGGGTCTTAAGGCCCTCGGTGTTAATTACTGTGCTGGTCCACTACCCTGCTTTCAACCACTTCATTCAAGAGGAGCAAGACAGGCAGACACAGCGATACACACACACACACACACACACACACACACACACACAAACAGCATACACACCCCCTCCATACAACATATACACCAACACACCTATCAGCACACACATATACACACCATCACACCCAACAGCATGCCAAACCCAACACACACCCCCACCCCGCAAACACACGCAGCATCACGACTGAGGATTCACACGAGAACGTCACGTGACGCAGCACAAAGGGCTTCCACTCCGACGCGCAGAAGGCTGATCAGCGATTAACTGCCTAAGAGCGCGTGGCGTTTCTGCATTTATTAATTCCTCGGGCGACACGCCCGTCTAACCCACGCTTCCCTTTTTTTGAGGATAATCTCCATTGTTCAAAGAGCCTGCCTTTCCGCAGACTGCGGCACCTGGCTTCAAAGCTCTGAGCCCCGCACTGAAAGCACTGCGCCGCGTTCCTCTTTAGTCATCAGCGTTTCAGTCATTGTCTTCCCTCTGCGTATTTTAATGAACAGTAGTGACAGCCCACTGACCCAATTAGTCAACTGACCTTAAAAAAAAAAAAAAAAAAGGCACACCCCCTCTAGTGATCTCAGTCTCCCCCTTCCCCCGACAACCCCCAACCCCCATTTCAGCACCTCTCCCTCTGTCTGGCATACCCTCTGAGATGCCCCTTTGTTTAACAGAGCTGCTGCACTGATCTGCACAAGACAAATGTGGGCTTAAATGAATGACTGCATACATCACTTGCCTATAAAACAGTAAAGCAGATGATTATGGCTCTCAGCATCTGATCGGTGGGAAAACTGATAACTCTTTCACATGACGTTGTTCTTTGAAGAACATGGTCTGGTTGACGTGACAGTGATTTCCCAGGCGTATTTGTAAACGCAAAACTGAATTGAATCGTCTCAATTAAGTCAATATTTGCGTCATTTCACTTGTCTTTGAAGCTTTTCTGTATTCACTAAAAAGCACCTGGCTTTACTGATGTCCATACCGAGTGGTTAACTACAGAAAGGTCTAATTTAATCGGTCCAATTTAGGAAAGATGAAAGATGAAAGATTACAAACGCCAGAACTGTCAGAAAAGAAAAGTCTAACGTGGACCTCATTTTTTTAGGTTTGTTAAAGTACTGACACATTGGAAGACTTGACGATTTTCCAGCACCTGCAATTCAGTTAAGCACTATATATCCTTCCTAAGATGAGAACCACACTATGTGGTGAGGTTACATCCACAGTATTAATGCTTGCTTCCTCAGGTCAGGCCCACACTATGTGGTTTGGTTATGTCCACAGTACTAATGTATCCTTCCTGAGATCAGAGCCACATTATGTGGGGAGGTTAGGTCCTCAGTACTAATGTATCCTTCCGCAGGTTAGAGCCACACTATGTGGTGAGGTTATGTCAACAGCATTAATGTCCCAAAGGAGCTACTCAGCGCTGCTCCTTGACCCAATATTAAGGGCTGCCCTGGCACTGCCCCTCTGTAAAACCGGCTTCCCAGAACCCTGCTGGGCCAGTAACAGCTCCCACCAGGCCTGTATCTACACTTTTTATGGTTAAACCATATCCTGCTTCACTCTGCAGGAAAATAATTCTGAAATTTTGCAGCAATTAAGAGGGAGAACTCAAACTCGCCTCCAGCTGTCCCCCTCCCGCCTCGTCTTGCCAGTTGAAGTTCGGGAGGAGAATACAGATAAGAGGCTTTTCGCGAAACGTTGCTCTAAACGGAATCAGCAAGTCCGCGTTAACCATTATGAGTCAGCCAGGCCCCTGCGCTACAGACAGTCCGCGGCTTCAGACAACGGCAGCCACGCGCATGCGAAAATAAACAGCCGAGAGATGTTTTCCCTTCGGTTTAAAAACTACCCGGCCGAACGATTTCCCCAGCTCCGCTTTTCGGCGACCGGTGGAGCATGTAATTGGCCGCGGGACATGAAAGGGCTGCTTCTGAACGCCGCTGGGCTCGGCGGTTCGCACGTCGCCGCGGGAAGGGGGGGACGGCCTCACCTTGCAGCGTCTGCAGGCACTGTCCCGTCTTGATGTCCCAGATCTTGACGGTGGAGTCGGCGTTGCCCGACACCAGGATGTTGTCTTTGAGCTCCATGCCGCTGGTCAGGGACTGGTGGCCCGTCAGCGTGTGGATGCAGTTCCCCGACTCCACGTCCCACACGCGGATCGACGTGTCCAGGGAGCCGCTCACCACGTGGGTCCCGTCAAACTGCGGGGAGAGGGGGAGGAGGGGGGCGCGTGTTTAGACCTCACCACAGACATCAAATTTCATAGCAGCGAGAGCATATCATCAACTCAGCCGGACAAAAGAACAGCTGATCATTTCCAACTATACATTTTGAAGTTACAGCATCTTTGAATAACTGCGGAAGTGAAAACATGATGATCACACTCCATGTAGGATCCAGCCTTTTACAAACAAACTGCTCATTTTCTGTGAAGTGCTCTAATTTTTCACAAAATAATTTTCAAAAATTACTGTTCAGAAATAAATCATTAGTTATTCAAAGGCTAGCAAAGCAATCAAGTTTCATCATAACTTGCCAGAATTAATTAACAATGAAAGAACACGAAGTTTCCAAATATGAATCTTACACATACTGACAAATTGCTCTAACACTGGTTCAGAGATTTTCCTGGGTTCCACTGTCAATCTGTGACATCAGCATGAAAGCGTAACAGTGCATTTTAATTGAGACAAGCCCTTATTGCAATTAAGGGGAATACATTTGATCTGTAGAATTATATACACACTGTCTGACAGAGCCTACTTCATTACGCATGCCCCTAGACATGACTCAAACCATGTTCTGTAATTGAGTCAATTGGTATCTTACACTGCATACATGTCCAATATAACACTCAATGGAAGGAAGATACAGTTAGAAGAGCAGATCCACACGAGTGCTACATATCCTACAGCCTCACCTCTGATGAGCAGCCTCGATATGCTGCTTACATTACATTATTGTCATTCAGCAGAAGCTCTTATCCAGAGCGACTCACATACATTACAATTTTACATGTTATCCATTTATACAGCTGGATATTTATTGAGGCAACTGTGGGTTAAGCATCTTGCCCAAGGGTACAGCAGCAGTGCCCCGGTGTGGAATCGAACCGGCAACCTTTCGGTTAGGAGCCCTGCTCCTTACCACTATGCTACACTGCTGTTACCCTGTAGAGAGGAACAGTATTGCTCACCTGTAGAGAGTAGACCCTGTTGGGGTACAGTATTGCTCACCTGTAGAGAGTAGACCCTGTTGGGGAACAGTCTTGCTCACCTGTAGAGAGTAGACTCTGTTGGTGTGGCCCTGTAGCGTGTGCAGGCAGGTCTCCGTCTCGGGGTCCCACACCTTGACCATGAAGTCGTAGGCGCCGCTCACCACCCGCCGGCCGTCGTACTGCACGCAGCGCACCGCCGCCACGTGGCCCATGAGCACGTGCAAGCACTGGCCTGTCTCGATGTCCCACACCCGCAGCGTGGCGTCCCGAGACCCGCTCACCACCCTGCCGGACAGAGTCAGACAGGACGTTCGGTCACCAGAACCGATAACGCACGCGACAGCCCTGCTGAAGCTTCTTCTCCCGCTGTCCGCAGAGAGCTCCGGCCCCTTTCTCTCCTTCCCTCACGCCACGACTGAATGAAGCTGTTCCAAAAGCCTTTGTAAATTAGACTCTCCGCCTTCCCTATTTTGACACACACAAAATTGCCGTTTTTTTGTTCCCCCTCTCTTAACCGAGCAAAGGACTGACACGACCTTTCCAACCCCTCAGCCCTCCGGCGGGGCGTTCTGAATGCTGGGCGCACGGCACGGCGTTTAGAGAGAGAGAGAGAGAGAGAGAGAGAGAGAGCGCTCTTAATTTGCGGAAGACCCCGGGGCAGGACAGGGCTGGGTAGTCTGCGGTGAGTGCTGCTCGCTGCGCAGTCTCTCTCTCTCTCTGTAATTACACACCACACGAGAACACAATGCGCCGTGTCCTGGGGAGGTGAACGCTCCGCAACACTAACCACCTCACGCTCGTAAACAGCGCAACGCAACACGGCCGCTCATCAGGTACGACTCACTTCCCACAGACAAAACAAAGCATTCTTCCGTAACGTTTCTCACAAACACACTGCTCTTATAACGCAAGTTCTGTGGGCTCGTTCCTGTGATGCATGTTGTTGTTGCAGAGTTTAATAACACCAGATGCCGTGTTTACCACGTCTTTGAGGGCAGAGTGCTGTTTGTGTCTGGTTTATCATGTGCCAGGTGGTCGGCCTATTGTTCGCGGACTCTGGCCTGTAAGCATTCTTTTGACAGCTTTGCCATGTGGTCAGCATGTTGTTCACGGACTCTGGCACATACGCGTTCTCTTGTGACCCATATAATTTGTGAAAGATTTATGCTCTAGCAGCATATACTTGCGCATCCTGTCTCAGGAGTAATCTGCATTGAACTCCTTTCACTGATAGCCAAATCTGCACTTTCTTCAAAAACGTAACTTTTCCCCTGAAGGAAAATCGGTAGGCTTTTTGTATGCTACACCTACACCTTATATGTATGCTTTTGTATCGTACACCGTATATGGTTTCGTATGCTATACCTATGATACGTATGCTACAGCAGCATGTAGGTTTTAGCACTGTTGGGGCATTAGCTGAGTGTGCGTTGTCGGCGTGGAGCCGGAGGGTTACCTTTTCTCGTGCAGGTGCATGCAGCGCACGGTTGAGGTATGGCCGTACAGGGTGTGGATGCACTCGCCCGTCTCGGCGTTCCACACCTTGAGCGTCCGGTCCGTGGAGCCGCTGATGATGATGCTGTCCCTCATCTGGGACGACCACACGCCGCCCGTGTGCCCCACCAGCGTCCTCAAGCACTGCAGGGAGGGGGAAAAAAAAAGGCGGAGGGAGGACCCCTTTAGCGCGGTGAAACAAGGGGCACAGAGGGTCAAAGCTGCCTCATGCAGCTCGCTCCCAGAATCAGTTCACACCGTTCGAGTCATTATTTGACAACAGTGACGGGGGAAAAGGCAAGAACATTATCATCATCCGCTATGCAAATCTACGCGGGTAATGTGCCTGAATGCCTGTGACCTTTTAATGTACACTCCATGGCGAAGGTATCATTTGGACTTGTCATCTACATCAGAACTTGAGCCCTGCGAAGTACCTGTTCAGTCCAATTTGAGATGATTAGCTGGATATGGACTGTGGTGATAACGGAGTTTTATACATTTCAAATTTAACCGACGGTAATTTGCTGATTCAGTGAGCAGGAATGGAGGCGTCCCGCAAGTTCCCAGCGATTTCTCGCCGTTCGTGAGAGGACTAATTTTGCTGCGGCCGGGCTTGCTGTGTTGGGGTGCCCCTCTCCCCACGGAGTAAAACATGGCACAAGTTGGCACACCACATCACCCCGCGCTTTATCACGGCGTTCTGCCCCCCGACGCAAGGCCACTTGATTACGCCTCCATGCTGAGATGCCTGCTCCTCCGCCCTGCCCCCGACCCCCGGCACTCCCCCCGGTTACAGACCTCTCCATCTCCTCCGCAGTGCTCTCCAGCAAACGGGTCTGCTTCGTTAGGCAACCGCCGCAGAGTCGTGCCCGCGCTCCGCGCAAAACGGTTACTGTCACATATCTAAAATTGGTGGCAGGGCATGAAGACGGCCCAAATCGTGAAATTATGTGTTGTCGTACGACAGAGAGAAAAGTTCAATTTGATTTGCTAATGCAGGGCCTGAACTGAGTGGGTTGGACTGACAGAAAACTGGACTTTTCTCTTCTTTTTTTTTTTACCCTTGTGAATGTTAGCAAGGCTTTCCTACATCTCCATCCAACATGCTTAAAATTAACTTTTGGTAAACAGCACTTTGATCTTAGGGGGGAAGGATCAGAATCGTATTGTCATACCACTGTTTCGACTGTTTCTTCATTCTCCACTGAGCGGCAAAGCATTCTGGGAAGTTAACTACAGCAATATGCATAGCTGGTCTTTTTCACAATTATCAGAATACACCAACTCCAGCCTTAACATCTAGTCTAGCAAGAATGAAAATAGGTTCCAGTTAAGAAGAGAATGACAAATTATTGTACTCTTTTGTGCTTGCTCCTTAAAATAAAATGGCAAAGCTAATGTAAGAAATATTTAACTGGCTATCCATTTCATAAGTGATGTTTCACTTCAGGTTGCCTACATAAAGGTGCTTGTTTCAGACAAATGAGAAGCCAGTATTGTTCCAGGACTGCGGTGTGAGCATTCCCCTGTTCTCCTGTGATTACGGCCTACTTAACCAGAGGCTGGGAGAGGACCCTACTGGGGTCTTTCAAACAGAGGGTCTTAGGCGTCTGTTTATCTGCCTCCCACACAGGCACAAAAGAAACAACCCCAGCTGTTAGGAGTGGGGGGGGGGGTGTTTGTGTTTTTTTCTTTTTTTGAAGATTGAGAGGTGGAACTGATCCAATGTGCCCTCAATTACGTTTTTCCTTTTTTTTTCCTACCACACAGCACAATAATGACATGAAGAGGACTCACAGCATTACAATATGTAAGTGCTTCTCGTATGGTGTAAAACTCACTCTCAATGGCCATTTCCAATGGCGTCCAAAAATACAGTGCTGAGCAATAAAGATGAAATTACAGCAGCCCACTCAAGGAAAATTATCGCAGGATGTCAGAATTGCACATTCTGGCATATTTACTGCCTGTGTCCCTTCATTTGCCGCGAACTGTTCAAATTGTGCGCTCCGACAACACCGTATGTTTGGGCTGAACCTGACTGGGTTATCTGAGGAATGCAGGCGTTTTGAGGCAGCTGTCAAACCTCTCTCCCCCTTCCCCATAGCCCCACCAGGCCAGATTTGGGGTCCACTGGGACCCGTTTCTGCAGGCTTCATTCAGTCTAAAAAAAACAAACCCTTTCACATCTCCACCCACCTCTCTCTGGGAAACTGGGTTAACCTTTCTTACTACGTCTTGGGTGCGATTCATTTTGGCACCAGACGGAGTAGCGTAGTGAGAGCAGCCTCTTCTACAGAAAATAGCTGCTCCATTATATGCAATGAAGGCAGAGCACAATCACACAAATCCACTTAGATTCCATCTGAAGGGAGACCAACCGGGCCAGCCATAGAGGGTTATCACTGCCCACGGTCTGAATGACATCAGAGACCAGCCAATGAGAAACACTTCCAGCTCCTTTCTGCTGGGACCCGCGTTTTTAAAGATCCCTGCGGGACCGAGGTTAATTCCGAAAAATAACGCCTTCCGAGAAAGAACGAGAATAGGTCTGGGGATGAGGGCGGCCTCTCCCTTGCCCTCACAGTGTAGCGCTGACCTGCGGCGAACCGGGAGTAGGGTGGGAACGCACCACTGCAAATATTTAACACGTTTGAGAATCAGAAAGCGCTCTGCGGCCTCCACATTCCACTCAGCGGCGAGCTCGGGGGCCGCGCGCCGGTTTCCAGGGCGATGGTAAATATTGAAGTGGCGGCTGAGGGAAAGGGAGTGTCTCTTTCACACCTGCCATTCCAGGCATACTCCGGGCTGTGAGAACTCCTGACGTGACTGGGGTTTAGATGGGGGCCGGTGTCTCCTGAGGACATGGGGGTAGAACACCTCACTTGCAGAGGATTTGCACAGCACCATTCAGCACAACCACAGAAAACACTTCCTGCTGTGAGGAGCACATGTGCATTTTGGTAGTGCATAAACACACACACACACACATCTCCACTGACTACATAGAATATATACACATTTAATGTTCAAACAAAGCCAAAGGTTATAGTTTTAAAGAAATTACATGCATGCAACAACAAACAAAAGTACAATGCAGCAATAACCCTGTGACCCTTGGTGTAAGGTCAGTAAGCTTTAGCGGATGGTGAATTATCTCTGTCTGGATCTGAGTGACGGACTGACCCCGCCCCTCTGAAGCACGCTGTGCAGAGCAGACACAGGCTGAGGGCGTGGCCTCCGCACACAGAAACCTGCGGGCAGGCCCAGACACGAGTGAAACCGGCAGAGAGGTCTCCCGCCGGACGAAGAATGCACATCGAAACTCAACAGGCATGACTGAAGAACATCAATGGAAAGAACGAGGGCTCAGAGCTATGTGAGCCTGAAGCCAGAAGCTGAATGAATGGACAGACGGGGAGGAGAGGGTCCTTAGAGTTTTTTTTTTTT